AAGCTATTTAGGGATGTGAGGTCTAGGAGGGGTCTCCACCTACCAGTCTTCTTTTCTATGAGAAAATAATGGGAATAGAAACCTGTTCTGTGGAATTGTGGTGGAACAGGTTCTATGGCTCCTATATGTAACAGGTGATCTATCTCTTGTTGTAAAATGATCTCGTGAGATGGGTCCCTAAAGGGGGACAGGATAGGAGGCTGGGATGGGGGAGGAAAAGAAAGGGAATGGTGTACCCTAAGGAGATAGTTTGAAGTACCCATTTGTCTGATGTAATTCATTCCCATTGATAAAGGAAGGCGAGTAAATGAAAATGAAAGAGTTTGGAAGGATTCTGATATTCTGGAGATGGCGTTCTGGTTTTCGAGCTCTCAACTATATTTTCAAATTTGCTTACTGGATTGGGGGTATTAGTCTGAGACCATTGTCTCAGCTGCCTGTTTCGACCCCGCTGTTGGTAAGGGTATTGTCTGTGGTACTGGAAAGGGGGCTGTTAGTACCTTGGTCTGTGGTACGGTTGGTATCTATATTGTCTTAGCCTCGTTGTAGGGGCTTGGATATCCAAGGATTGGAGAATGGCTCTGGAATCCTTCATGGATAGAAGAAGCTCATTGGTCTTTGAGGAGAAAAGGTTCTCCCCTTCAAATGGGGAATCTTCCACAGCTGCCTGCAGCTGTCTCGGGAAGGCCGATGAGTTGTACCAGGAGACCCTATGCATAGTAAGAGCTGTAGCCATTGACCTTGTGGCTGTGTCTGCTGCATCGAGCACTGCTTGGACCACTATATACAAAATTGCCTGTCCCTCAGAGACAATGGTTTTGAAATGCCCTTTTTTGCTTTCTGGCAGATTATCAATAAATGTGTTCATTATCGTGTAATTGTAGTCGTATTTACTAAGTAGGGCTGAATAGTCTGCTACCCTCAGCTGGAGTGTGGCTGAAGCATATACTCTTTTGCCAAATGCATCTAATCTCTTGTTCTCCTTATCAGATGGGGTTGAGCAATTTTGTTGCTTGTTTCTCTGCTGTGCAGCATCTACCAGGAGGGAATTGAGGGGAGGGGAGGGGGAAAGGGAGGAATGTGTGGAGAGAAACTCAGATCCTTTGGGCGGCACAAAATACTTTCGGTCTGCCTTTCTGCTAGTAGGGGGAATCGAGGCAGGTGTTTGCCATAATGTTTTTGCAGGTTGGAGAATGTCTGGGTTGATAGGGAGAACAATTTTAGACAATGAACTGGATTGTAAGATGTTAGTGGGCTCATGGGGAGCATCTTGTACTTCCTCCACAGACAAGTTTAGGTCTTGCGCTACCTGTTTAAATAAATCTTGAAAAGAGGAGATGTCCTCTGAAGAATTAGTGGAGGGAGGTAGAATTGCTTCCCCTGTATAAGCTAATGATGCCATGTGAGCCAAAGATCCTGTGGCTGACATAGGGGAGTATTGGCTGTCATTATCACTCCTCGTGGTGTCTCTGTGAGGCGATTCAGTGGAGCGTGAGAGAGGTTCTCTATGGCTACGTCTAGACTGGCCCCTTCTCCGGAAGAGGCATGCAAAGCAGGCAAGTCAGAATAGGGAAATCCACGGGGGATTTAAATATCACCCGCGGGATTTAAATAAACATGGCCGCCGCTTTTTTTCCGGCTTGGGGAAAAGCCGGAAAA